AATTTTTTCTGATATAAAGCAATTAGAATAACTTGATATAGGCCCGTATACATGTAACGATTGCAATTACTTCAAAGTGGAGGGGGAGACGGGGCCTAAAAAATCGTCGTACTACGTGTGTACCTTTCCAATAATAGAATTCTCCGCACAAATCAAAAACAAGTTGCAGTATTGATATCCCCAATTTTTTTTAAATAATGAGACCATAATGGACTTCACAAGGATAGAATTGAACATTAATTTATCATGTTTATGGTACATGTGCAATTAAAATCACTATCAAAATTGGCAGAGTTATCGATAGGTCATCCTGTGTCACCCTTCAGTGTAACCGATGAACTCGTCCATAGATACCTTTGCAGATGAGAAAAGCGCGCGTAAACGCAGCACCTTTTATTCATTCGTCAAAGATAAGAATCCGACATTCAACACTTTTAAATCATGTTCAAGAAAACCTTAAAATTTGTGTATAGAAATATTCTTACGATTAGCGCAAATGACATGTTTTCTTGATCTTAAATCTAGGACTCTAGTAAAAATCAAAGAGCGGTAATGTTGACCTCACGAATGTATACAGTTCAATGCGCGATCGATAAACGGGTTTCATAACCATGTGATAACTGTACACACAAAACAGGCACACTGTACACACGAAACTTTCAGGGTCCGAGGAAAATTCACGATGCATGAATTGAATAACAGTGAATTATCTTAAGCTTGAATTTTTTTTAAAATAAATAATGCTACATTGAATATTAATACTTAAAAATATTTTTCCTCTCTCCCGTCTTGTTCTTTACACTAAACACAGGGAGAAAGTTGTCTCTAAATAATCTGTATGACATCTAGCTAGAGAATACGTTAAAAATCTTATTTCAACAAAGTTTAACATTCAATTTAGCTAGGTATATTATTCTTATCCAGTTAATTTCAGTTATACATGTTATACGCGTACGCATATAGAATTCTTCTTCACTTGCCGTATAAAATCACTTACCTGTACATGGACTATAAAGTTTTCTGCTCATCTAATAAAACATGACTAGAACAAAATAACGTTTCATGAGATCAATGAGATGCTAAAGAACCCATTTCAAATCGATAATCATATCGAAATATTTACCGTTTTTAAGTTATAAAGCAACAACTTTCGAGCGCCCTTGGCCCCTAATTTGAGGGGCCAGCCCCTTTTTAATGATGTCAAATGATAGATCTTAAAATTATGCACAATATTTGTGAAACATGTCTTAACAAATTATTTTTAGTTTAAAAGATACATAAGGAAATAGATGTAAATTTTTGCGCTTTTAGGCATTCTCATTTTTGACCCCTATCTAGCACCGTTTTGAGCGCAGAAATCGAAAAAGAAAAACCGATGTGCACAACTTCAATTCTTCTAGTATTTAAATTCAGTAGACATTCTGCTCCAGCTTTTGTCGTTTCTGAGCCTTTGTCTGGAAACAAAAAGCACCAAATTTTCAATTAAAGGGAAATAACTCAAAAGCGGAAGGGAATTTTTGAAATGTATGAAAACATTCAAATTGCGTTTTGTAACGTCCAAAAACTCTGAAAATTTGAGCGAAATTTGTTACCAATAACTAGAAAGTCTGCTATTGCAAGCAATAGCGTATGTCACCCCGAACTGGACAAGACTTTCATTTCAGTGATCGTTTTTTTGTGGAAAGTTTCAGGAAGATTGTCCCAGTCATCTCCGAGAAACAGCCCGTAGAACAAAAACATGCGTAATCGCAATATGTCGCCCCCGACTTCGTTTGGGGAACGTAACAAGTCTAATGCTGTGACTGGTCGACAAGGAATATCTTCTCCTTCATGGCACTTAATCCAGCTCTGATGTGTTAGAGTTCCTTGTTCGCTCTGTTACCGATTGGTATGTTGGTCTCCTACCTACCTGCCGTCAGTCGGGTAGTCTATCAGTTAACTTCACGTGATCATTTGCAGGATAGTGTTATACTAGAAATGTATTCTACTCAGATTCATAAAAGGTATTTTTTAAAAACATTTTTTAGCTCACCTGAGCCGAAGGCTCAAGTGAACTTTTCTGATCAAAATTTGTCCGTTGTCTGTCGTTGTTGTTGTTGTCGTTGTCGTCGTCATCGTCATGGTCGTTGTTGTCGTTGTAAACTTTTCACTTATGTTGCTTTAGATGGTTATTAAGTCTAAATATTGGACTACATATGTCACATTAAGCAATCTAACTGGAAAAAATGCCATTTTCTAACCAAACTCGTCCTCGCTGGGCTGTGTGTTGTTTTCACAAATTCCTCGTCAGAATCGGCTTCTGGCTCAAACTGGGAATTCACACCCAATCCATCTGGTTCATCAAAAACTGAAGATCCATCTGACATATCAAGGCTGATATCGTCGTTGTTGTCGGAACTAATCTATGTAATTAGAGAAATCTGTCAATGTAACGTCACGGCGATATAGCCTTTTAAAAATCTATTTTTGCAATTGGATTTTCATAACAGGTAAAAATAGACGCTTTCATGTGCAATAACTCCGTTAAACTCATCGATTTCGATGCGGTTTTTTTTGTTGGTTTTATTTCGCCAAGTTTATAAAAGAATTGCTACCCATTTCCATTACCCTTTAATCTTCTTCTCAAGAACCACTGGGCCAATTTCAACCAAACTTGCTACAAAGTATGCTTGAGTAAAGGGAATTCAAGTTTGTTCAAATGAAGGGCCACGCTCTTTTCCAAGGGGAGATAATTATGAATTAGAGAAAAATTAATGGTGTTTTTTAAAAATCTTCTTCTCAAGAACCATTGGGCCAGAAAAGATGAAACTCATGTGGAATCATCCTCAGGTAGTAAAGATTCAAGTTTGTTCAAACCATGACTCCCGGGGATAGGGTGGGTCCAAAATGGCCGATCAAAGTTTTACATAGGATTATATAGAAAAAAATCTTTTAAAATCTTCTTCTCCAGAACCACTGGGCCAGGGAAGATGAAACTCATGTGGAATCATCCTCAGGTAATAAAGATTCAAGTTTGTTCAAACCATGACTCCCGGGGGTAGGGTGGGGCCAAAATGGCCGATCAAAGTTTTACATAGGATTATATAGAAAAAAAATCTTTTAAAATCTTCTTCTCCAGAACCACTGGGCCAGGAAAGATTAAACTCATATGGAATCATCCTCAGGTAGTGTAACTTCAAGTTTGTACAAATCATGACCCCCAGGGATAGGGTGGGGCCAAAATGGTCGACCAAAGTTTTACATAGGAGTATATAGGAAAAATCTTTAAAAATCTTCTTCTCCAGAACCACTGGGCCAGGAAAGATGAAACTCATGTGGAATCATCCTCAGGTAGTGTAGATTCAAATTTGTTCAAATCATGACCCCCGGGGTAGGGTGGGGCCAAAATGGGGCCAAAATGGCCGATCAAAGTTTTACATAGGATTATATAAGAAAAATCTTTAAAAATCTTCTTCCCAAGATCCATAGGAACAGGAAAGATGAAACTTTGTGGAATCATCCTCAGGTAGTGAAGATTCAAGTTTGTTCAAACCATGACCCCCGGGGGTAGGGTGGGGCCACAATGGCCGATGAAAGTTTACATAGGAATATATAGGGAAACCTTTTAAAATCTTCCTTAAAAGTACTTCAAAGCCATGATTAGTAATATTTATATGGAATCATCCTCAGGTAATGTAGATTCTAGTTCGTTCAAATCATGATCCCCTGGGGGTTTAAAATTCAAGCCCCCCTCCCAACTTCAGTAAACTTTTAGTTCTGATCTGATATGTGCTTTTTCCTAGCCAATGTGCTCAGGTGAGCACTGTGGCCCCTGGGCCTCTTGTTTTCTATTTCAAGTAGTTTTTAGTTTTTGGTTATTATTATACAGGTATTTCTTTAACATTTGTTTTGATTTCAAGTATTTTTTAATTTTTGTTTATAACCATACACTTACAGTTAACAATTTGCAGGTAAATATCTACAACTTCTCTTGTTTTGCCAGTTATACATGGAAAGTAGTACCAAGGTTGAATTATCGTGGTATTTAGGAAATTTCTATGCACACAGAGGTAAACCATACAGCTACCTCTTGTGCTCTGAAATGTCAGATGATATTCACTTGTAAGCAATTCCGTCATAATGGAGTTACTATGGATTGTGATTTATACATTGGGGAAAGATACAAAGCAGTAACGCATGAATATGGAAACAAGTTTTATCAGAGAATGCCATGTGTGTATTTATACAATTAATTTAATGCTAATACATGTACTTTATTGTGCCGTTTATGTTTGATAACAAACTAATGTCACTAAACAGCATTTTGTCTGCATTATCAAAGTTTCAAAGATGGCTCAGGAACTTTGAAAATTCAACATGTTCAAGGAAATAATAATCATTTAATTTCTATAAAATACTTTATTTTGATTGGATAAAAAATTGTTTTAATAACTGCATCAATAAAATGTAGAGTTCGCTTGCACTAAGGAGCCGGAACTACTTTGGTTGTCTTTACATGTATATTTCCCGCTTCCAGATTACTTTTTGAAGGAATAATTAGGGGCCTAAATAGTTTTACTTTAAAAGAAATTTTCCTGAATTTCGAAACATGTCCGTTACGTTCCTGACTTATTTCGTACTTTCGTTTCTTTTTAATTATCCCCCTTTGCTAAACAAACCAAATTGTCTGCATGACAACAATACAGTTATGGGAAAGAATGAAAGAAATCAGCATACTTATTTTAAATGAATGTCTGAGAGTTAATTGGTATGAACAATAGAACTGTGAAGAAATGTTTCTATGCTACCAAAGCTGGAAAATGCCGTTAATGTGTTAATTCTCAGGAAGCGGATGATCGAGAAAAACGACACCGCACGAATGAGGACGGAATTCTTTAAGCCTAATCTTAAATAGTCGGGAATAGACTCTTTCAGATTTTGCAGCAGTGACAGATTGTGATACGCATTTATATGTTCGATTTGAAATTCAGATAAAAAGGAGTGCAAATCCAAAATTTTTGTGACTCAGAACTGTTAGGATAGGCCTATTTGAGTAGCTTCCTTTTACATTTACGAGCTTACTGGGGGAAAATCCCATTTGGATATAGCAAGATATAATAACACAACAGGTACGTTTTTTGTGTTAAATAACTGTTAATAAGTGTTTGAGAAGGTTGGTAATGACACGACAATATTTGAAAGCTTTTTTTTTCGTTAGCTAGCCATTTTTAATTTCAGCAGCGTTAACGTTGTTGTGATATATTCATATGCACTATTTTTGATGCGTAAATTTCATAGTAAAGTAAAAGAAAGTTTCATTTTATTAATTGAAAATCATAATTAAATGATAAGAAATGAATGTAATATTTTTTTCCTTTGATCGAAGTATCAAAGAAAAAATTTGAACTAAAAACGTTTTCATGAAAGCGCTACGCGCATTGATGACGTTTTCCGTCCAATTTTTTTCTTTGATACTTCGATCAAAGGAAAAAAATATTACATTTATTGCTTAAATCAAAAACTCTAGTCGTTTTTTTTTCCTATTTTTATTTTTCAAATGGCCATCGTTGCCCTTGATACGTAATTTTTTTTTCAATGCTATGTTTCTTAATAACTTCAACCCAATCGTTTTGTAATTTCAAACAAATATTCCATTCTTCGTATCAAAAAATATAGAATGAAATATATGGAGAAAACTCACATTATTCAAGTTCTAAAGCCCATTCAAGCAATACGAATCAGGATCAGAGCAAACACAAACCTCTAAATAATAAGAGGTGGGATCAGATGCCATAAGGAAGAAATAATCTTCGTGCTTCCCGTCACCACCGGGAAATAAAGTTCACATACGGAAATCCGTAGACAATTTTGTGTTAAAATACTAATGGTCTAACAGCTAGTATGAAAAACGTCAGTCAACATTTAACTTAATGATAGATTATATTAAATGACAAGGTCATTGTTTCGACCATAGAACGTATGAAATAACTACTTTAAACAAGACTGTTTCTTCTTATTTCATAAACATTTTTGTCAATAAACCTCCTCGTTTTAGAAATTGATTATACGTAAAGCATGTCCTTGTGTATCGAATCAACAGAAATATACAAACCCTGTAGGTGAAAAAGGCATACTTACGGCATAGTTAGACGTTAAAAAAGAACGTTAATAAGGCTTTAATGTCATATGAAAATCCGCAGCAGAGCAAACATGGACATCTAAAACCCCGAATGTTGGGATCGGGCTTCATGGCGGAATAATCATCTACCTTCCCTCGGTTACATCCGCCGTGTGCTCCATGTCGTGATTGGGAAAACGAAGGATCTGTAGACAATTCGTAGATCCCTGTTTTACTTTAAAAAGGAGATCAAATATTCAATTCTAGTGTCATTGAGAAAAATCATTGCTTTTACTGCATTCAGAGAATGAGTTGATTGGCTGGTTTATATTTACTTATAAATATATTACCTATCCTTCACCCTTTATAATGGATATAGTGCAAGTAAATAAAAATTATATTATTTAACTAATCAACTTCTTTTTTTTATAACATTCATACTGGTATCTTCATTCCAGTTCAGCTTCTTAACACAATTATTTTTAACATTTTCTATATGTTAAGGTAGGAATCCACGAAAACATCCGAAGACAAGCGGTGTAAATAATTGCCTATCTATTAGTTTTTAAAAAGTCATGCAGTAAATATTTGACTTACTGATAGACTATATCTGCTGACAAGGTCATGGTATCTTAGAGATCAACTTGATCAACTTAGAGATATAAACTTTGTATGCAGATGATGAAGGTATACTGACACGTAAGTAAGGAGAGTCGGCGTTTGAAAAGTTAAAGTCCTCACGTTTATCATAAAATATTATTCTAAGGTTACCGATATCTTCTTTTTCTAGTAAAATAAACAAATTAGAAACAAATGTATTTATAATTTTCCATGTTGGTAGTTGTTTGTAGTCTCTAAGTATTGTTTTGTTTTCTGATTCATTATCTTTAATTTTACTCTAGGTGAGTTTTACTCTGATACCAGTTTACCCCTTTCTGTAATTAGGTATGATTCTATAACTATTTACTTGGGAATGCGATTGAATGCAGAATTGCTAATCAGTTAACCGCAAGACGTTCCGACCGATTAACCGGTTGATCGTATCATCAAATACACATTTAAAAAAAACAGGAAGTTCTTTCCGTATGTACACAGAAAAAAAATTAAAAAGATGGTGATTGAAGTTAAAAACATTCCATTTGTCTTGTTTTTGTATCAGAAAACTACATTTTTTTTTTTATTTCAGTGTCAAAATAGTTTTTAGAAAATTTTCAAACTAATTAATCTTTTAGAGCAGATGTCAAGCAAGGTAATATTATCACAATAATCAAAACTAAGTCTGAACTATAGCCCTTAATTTACAAAGTTTGTCTAATAATTTAATAAGATAGAGAACTAAATACGACAAACATACCATTTCACAGTGCTCTTATAAAATTATCATCATTAAAGGAATACCGGACGGTCTGAGTAGCGGCATGGTGTTTGCGCGATAATTAGAATTAACGCTACACAAACTGACCAATTACCCCCATGGTCTCAATCCGGATAGCAATAATTATCTCCATGTCACTTTGAATAGTTTTGAAAAGCGCTAAATTTTCAACCAGAGGTTCAGCGATTTCTTTTTTTAAAAATGAATTTAAAGAAAATAATATTAGATTTTATTTCTTCCGACTAACCGATTACAAATCTTCTAACCGATTAATCGTTCCGACTGAGTAATGGGTTAACCGGTTACAAGTTGCCATCCCTACTATTTACAGATTGTGTGGCCAAGCGTAAATGTGAATCAGAAGGCAGAACAATGATGGGTGCCAAAAATTTCACTTAGATTACTAATCTGATGGGGCTTCTAGACCTTGGTATGTTTGAAAAAGTCAATACATTTCATGCAAGTTAGGTAACCAAGCTTCATGTGTATGCTTTTTGTTGTTAAAAAATGCGTTTTTATCTCTTTGATAAAAGGATGGACTCACGTTTATGCACGGCGAACCGGAAGTAACTCCTACGAATGGTTTGATGGTACCCCTGTTACAGAGGGATGGGGTCTTAACCAGCCTGACACAAACAGTGACTGTGTGGGTGTCGATCTCAGCATGGCTGATTGGTGTAAAACAGGAGGACTGGACGATATCATTTGTACAGATTCCAGACAATTCTGTTGTACTTAAATGATATATTAAATTAAACCTTTTCATCTGAAAGTCACATATTTGTAAAGATATTTAAAAGAGTTGAGATGAATATTTCTGATTTTTTTTTAATAAAAAGTATATGAACTGAGAACCGAAAGAATTTTTACGAGTATATCTCATTACAGTAATGTTTTTCTGTCTTTATAAAATCATATAATTGACAAAATTGTGAATACCTGTAATATTTACTTATTAATCACAAGTCTGTCTCGGATTAAAATAATGATCGATTGAGGGCTTGGAGACATAAAATCTATATTCAGGTGATGGAGAAAGAGGCTTTTTGAAATTAATCGAATCAAATGAGAGATACGAACTAGAAAAAAACACAGAGTATCTTCCATAGTTAATTTATTGTACAGCCACAGGTAACAGGGTAAACGGGTCTCGTTCTGCTTGGTTGACTATCTGACATCAAAGTAGGCAATAGAAAACTAGTTTTGGTTTTCTTCTGTACTTTATTAATAGTAGAAATCATTGAGTCATGTCGTATATAGATAAATATGAAAATTAAACATTGAATTCTTTTTAAACAAAACGTTTTTGTTTTGATTAAATATCTATTCAATGAAAATTATTACATTTATCCTTACTTTAATTAAACATGGAAAATATAAAAATCAAGCAAAACTTGATATTTCATATTTTACAGCAAACTAAATCAAATGTTTAAATAAAACAGAGCTACACGCTCTAGCATTGTTCAAAATCAATTTTAGAACATTAACTGTTGATGAGTACAACGATGTCCTTCAGATATATGAAGCAAAAGCCATTTAATCTAATCCTTTACTTGATTTTACACTACCTTATAATTACAGAATAAGTTTGTTTTCATATTGACTTTATAAATGCGATCTCTAATACTCGCTACAAGGACAATTGCAATTGATTAAATCTGTCAGTATGTGGCAGATAATGTTATCGCTCTATGTTCAGAGGAATGTTCCTGATGCAATATTTATACGGATTCAATATGAAGCATTATTAATCGTCTTAGAAACAGACTTACTAGTAGATTATAATAAAATATTTCTTAAATAATATTAAGTAGTCCATTTACTAAATATCATAATATTGAGAAAACAGTTTTTCTCAAGAGACTATATAGGCAAATGCAATTCATCATAAGGTAAAATACTGACTGTTGTATTTCATATTGATTGTTAGATTATCATATATATACCTATTTGATCATTATTTCCCGACTTTGAAAACGAACGGGTCGGCACGGGGATTCTTACTTTTCCATGGCACTGATCCCACCTTTGATATTCAAGAGGTCCGTATATGCTCTGCTCTTGATTTGTATTGCTTAACCCCCTTCCCCGTAGTTACGCATTTAAACGCATATACCATTTCCTATTTCTAAAGCAAAAAAACGCATATACCGTTTCCCCGAAATCACGCATTTTTCACACAATTTCAAAAGTAAATTTTATCTTCAATTTAACACCAATTCCCTTCTTTTTTATACTGTATTTATATCCATTAACTTCGTCTTGCCTAGGCCACAATGACGTTAAAAACGTATCGAACAGTTTCGATGTAACATCCTACCTCTAATGTTCCTGATTTGTACAGTCTGAGTGGAGCTTGAATATGAAAGATATGGAGATAACGAACAGTATTCAAGATCAGAAATCCATAAAACAATGCAAAATAGGAGCAAAGTTTTATTTTCGAAACTTTATTTATAGCTGTGGATATTAAATTCATTTTAGATGTGATGATATTCTTTTGAGTGTAAACCAGCATTCCTTAGTGAACATAACACATTCCAGGGCCGTGGATCTCCTCAAACAAGCTGATGGTGCTGTTACATTAACTGTTGTCTCATGGCCAGGAACCATTGTATGACACAGATACAATTTGTTACACAAAATTTCATTGGTCAGGTACCATTTTCTGACACACATGCTTTTTGTAATACTAAATTTCATTGGTCAAACAGCATCCAAAAACATTTTTTTTGTGCTGTACTTCAACGAATTTCATTGGTTGAAAAAATGTCAAAAAATCACTGATTTATGCAGCTTGGTACATTTGTTTTATTGGTTATTGCAGCACCTTATAGGTGTACTGCTGCTGTAAGACTGACCTTTGATTCATCGGTAATGTGTATGTTGAAGTAGTATTAACTTTCAAAGTTATTGATTGTATGACATTTGATGAAATGTGATGCTTCAACAGCTACTTTGATTAATCTCTGTGATTCGATTCATTTGTTAAGACTCTTCTGTGACAGAAGGGTTCAAGTTTAATGAAGATTCTCATATTAATGTTAATGATATTAATGGATTTTATTTTATCTATAAAGTTTTCTGTTCTGTTTCCAATGATTTTATTTTTGTTCAATGAAATATAAAATTATATGTTTCTTTTACAGACCTACACAAAAAATTTCTACAAAACTTGTCAGAAAGCAGAAAGCATCCTTTAATGAAGGGAATTCAAGTTTGTTTTTTTTTCAAATTAAGAACAATGTCCTCTCTCTCAAAGGGAGGATATCTTCTTCATAAGAAAAGCTTGAAATATTTAATATCAATTCTCTATAAAAATCAAAATTTTAAATAGGGTCGTGGACATGACATGTCTCCGATTTAGCTGAATTTCACACCATTTACTACATTTGGCATATCTTTAATAAATATGATGTTAAAGTCTAACTTTTCAATTTGGTTGCCATGGTAACAAGGATGTTATATTTAGAACTCTCCGATTAAGCAAATTTTGCTCTGTTTTAAATTAAATTAGTGCACATTCAATAAATTAGTGTAAATTCACATGGAAATTATGTTCTCTGAGCTCATATTACTTAAATCTCAGAAATAAATTTCATTCAAGATATGCAAATTTTCATCGCAGCATTTAGGCTGTTAGCAAATTGGCAATTTGCCAAATTTGGCTTTTTTAGTCATATTCAATGAAATTTTTCACCATTTTGACAACTGATATATTTGTAACCATGTATCATTAAATAAACTATATATTCTAAGGTTTTATGAGAATAAAAAAAATTTATGGGTAAATCAAAAACTTTCTAGAAATTATTGCATGAAAATTGGCAATTTGCCAAAATTGACTTTTTTAGTCATATTCAATGAAATTTTTCACCATTTTGACAACTGATATATTTGTAACCATGTATCATTAAATAAACTATATATTCTAAGGTTTTGTGAGAATAAAAAAAAATTATGGGTAAATCAAAAACTTTCTAGAAATTATTGCATGAAAATTGGCAATTTGCCAAAATTGACTTTTTTTAGTCATATTCAATGAAATTTTTCACCATTTTGACAACTGATATATTTGTAACCATGTATCATTAAATAAACTATATATTCTAAGGTTTTATGAGAATAAAAAAAAATATCATGGGTAAATGTACAGCTTTCTAGAAATGATTGTATGACACCCCCCCCATTAATCACAAATAACAGAAGATCATCTAGGAACATGTTTTACCAAATTGAACAAATTGTTATGTTATATGAATATACGTCAAGTATTTAAATTTCTTTTTGATAATTAAATAGAACTTCTGCAATTAACTCAGAGACAGGTAAATTAATATGTTGCCATGGAAACAAATTAGGCTTCTAGTTACTTTATTCTAAATATGAAATAAAACAAATGAGATTCCAACAATTTTTACAAATCTTTTGATGGCCTGTAATTGTTTCCAATCCCTTTGATTTATTCACTAAAATATGTTCAAATTCAAAACATTTGTTTATTCTTTTTAAATGTATAATTTAAGTAAAAATGCAAACTCATATATAATAAATGATATTAAAGTATCTAATGAAAATATGAAAGTAAGTCAGACAATATAATGTCAAAACAAGTTGGCGAGACCATCTTGATTATAATGTTTGTTTGCCCTCTCCCAACTCAGGGTAAAATTATTAAGTTGCAGGCACGTAGTATCAGGGGGGGCCAGGGGGGCCTGGCCCCCCCCACTTTTTCTCCCGACATTACCTTTACTATAGAAAATGTTTACTGAAAGGAAGGTTGGCCCCCCCCCCCCACATTTCAGCACAGTGTAGTGTTATAAAGAAAATTTACCCCAAAAAGTTTGAATTGAAAGATAGTCGGTCTTGAAAAAAGTTGGCCACTTCCCCCCCCCCCCCCCCACCACGAAATAGGATTTTGGACTTTTAATTTTTTTTTTTTGCTTTTTTTTTTTTTTGCTTGTCAACTTTTTCAGGTAACAAAAAAAAAATTCTCAGGTTGGCCCCCCCACTTTCAAAAACGATGCTACGTGCCTGAGTTGGTAGGTAGGTTGAAAAATCATTTTCCCAGAAAATTTCAAAATATTTGTTGATGAGATAAGATGGATAAAAAGAAAAAAAACATCCTGTCTTGCAATGTAAAAAAAAGTTCTGAATTTTAGTCAGTCTATTGGGGGAAGGCAAACAAATTCTTTTTAAATGCCCTTATATCACGCCTGCTAATCGATCAATTGCACAACCAGCAGTTGTGTATAACAATTAAAAGAGATCGATTTCCGGTTGTGCAATTGATGCGAATAATTCCAGTACACAGGTAGTAAATGGACCCGATTCAGGCAATAATTGATATTTTTATTAAAATATAAGAATGTGATTCCATGAGCAATTTATTTTTCTTTAATTTTGCACTCTCATAAAATGCAGTGATTGTCGATTAGCGACGATATTTGTTTTGAAGCAAGGGCTGGTAGAGCGAAAACGCTGATTGAAAATAGTATTCGCCGACTAAAATTCGTTTTAATCTCAACTAACCTTGAAAATTCAATGTACACCATGAGTATGCTACAAGTGCATCCTATCCACCAAAATTGGGACTTCGATATGTGTATAATTTGACAAATATTCGTAGAAAATAACATTGCTTATGCATGCGATCATTCAGTTGTGAAAGAGATCTCGGGTTATGCATGAGATGAAGGATAAAAAGTTACGATAGTATTACACAATCTCCATAATTCACGTCTTATACTATTTTATTTTTGGTAATTATAAAATTTTAAATATTGGCTATAATATGAAGACGTTGCAG